GGGGTACGGATCCATTTTCACGAAAACGAGCTCAGGTCCCTTTCAAGGGGGTAAACCCATGTGACGTGGCGTCATGGGGCCCTCTAAACCATCAAGCTTGGGAAAGTAGTGGGGTTTATCCCCCTTGCCGGTGGTAACGCTGCGGCGCGCCGCTCTCAGTCTAAGGCGCTGACGGTTTAGGGGGCCAAAACCCTGGAGCAAGCAATGAAAGCAACAAGGTTTAGGGGGGGTAAGCCTCGTAAGCCACCGTCCACGTAGCGAGGTTTACCCCCCTCACCGGCGGTAACGCTGCGGCGCGCCGCTCTCAGTCTAAGGTGCCAACGGTTTAGGGGGCCGAAACCCTAGATCAAGCAATGAAAACAACAAGGTTTAGGGGGGGTAAACCCTGTAAGCCACAGTCCCGGTAGCGAGGTTTACCCCCCTAGCCGGTGGTAACGCTGTAGCGCGCCCACCGGTGGTAACGCTACGGCGTTTGAAGCGTTACCCGGCGTTACCGCCCAAAACCTGCCCGGAGGCGACCTTTTGGAATTTTCGCTTCGGGAAAAAGTTGCTCTCGAAGCGAAAAGATAGCCCTTACACCATCGGGGTGAAAGATGCGATTTCGAATTTTCGCGGACGCCTCCCTACTTCGACGTTTCGGGGTTTAGGCCCCCTAAACCGGTCGATTTCGACAACTAAAATTGTAGCTTTCTATTATTATTGAGGGCGGACGTGAGTGCAACACCGGACTGGCAACCCGGTGCAGCTTCGGCTGGCATGGGCACGGACCTCGAAAACTTAAACCTAATAGGGCGAGACGCCACTGTACATAGTAAAGTGACTTGGGCTGCGTTTAGGCCACTTGTGACTGGGCAGACTTGAGCAACACTTTCCTCTTTGTCCCCGGGCAGTTTCAAGGAGAAAGGCGAAAGCAAAGGCGTGAGTGGGAAGCGCTGTGACTTGCAGACGCCTGTGTGAAGCAATCTGTTCTACCGGAGCTAGATCTAAAGGAGAATCGAGATGTAGACAAGTGACAAGCCCCAGGCCGTTTAAGAGTGACACGAAATTACCGTCGCGCCGGTGGGACCCTCAGTATAGCCACCTCGCAGGCCGTTTAAGAGTGACGCAGGATTACCGCAGGGAAGCCTGACGCATTGAAATGGATGCGTATGAACACTTCGTGAGCCGCTTAAGAGTGACGTCCAATTACCTTAGCGCTGCCCGGGCTTTGTAAAGGCATACCTCCCCAGCCGTTTAAGAGTTACGCCCGGTTACCTTCTATAGTAATAAGCGCTGTTTTCTGTTGATGGCTTCTGTCCACGGGCTTGTTGCCTCTAAGGTACAGGGCTCTGTTAGCAGTTGCCGGTGGCATTGTGAATCCAAGGCGTGCAACGCGGAAAATCGATCTTTACACGGCCGGCTGACCAGCTAGCGCCAAGGATTTGAGGTTTATATCAAATTTCGATCATGTTGCTTTGAGAAGTTGACTGTTGTGGAGACGCCTTTGCTGATGTTGCTCTAGCTTGCCAGATCCTGTCTCGCAGTTGCGCATCCCTCTAGCTGTTCGTATTGAAATTTCAAAGAATGAGCTCGCCTGCGGGTCAAAGGTTTTCTCGAAGTTTGTTGGCTCACAGCTTTACCTTGTCGTGCTTCATCTTGCCTCTTCGGCCCTATCCCGCGCTAGCTGCTGTCATGTCGTCCTGGGGCAAAGGTGCTTGGAGCGCTCGCAAGGGCAAAGGCAGCGGCGGGAAAGCGAAGGGCAAGACCTTCGGCGAAAAGAAAGACTATGTGAAAAAGGTTTCTTGGGAAAATCGGCTTTCCAAGTGGTACCTTCGCCCTTACGTGGATCAAGCTGGCAGCCCGTTCTCTGCCAATGGCGTCCAAGAATCCGAGCTGCTCTCCTCATACCACCTACGAAACATTCTGAGCGAGGACTCCTCGGAGTATTGCGCGCGGCAGGGCATTGCGCTCTCGGAAGGCGCCGCGAACTTCGAGGTTGGCGCTGGAGCGTTGCAGCACCACTTCGGCGAGGACGCCGGCGCCGGTTTGAAGAAAGTTGGCATTCAGCCATTACTCGAGCAGTTCCAGACTGCAAATGGCAAGAAATTCTTGGAAGCATGCGCGTACTTGAACACTGCCAACACTGAAGTGGAACGCAACGAGGGAGCTACGGCCGCGGCCGTGAAACGCTTTGTTCGCTTCTTGACCCACGAGCCCGCAGAAAAAGAAGCGGCTTTCCGGAAGTTGCTGCGCCTCACGGCGCGGCTATACATCTTTGCTTTTGAAGGCCTTGAAGCGATCACCGCCCTGTCCAACCCAAAGGTCATGGCAGCTGGCGTGCATGCAGTTGGGCAGCAAGCGGTTTTACCGGAAGATTGCAAGGCGTGGCTGCGCGCGCCCGAGGATCAGGAAGCCTTGGTATGGTCTTTGGTGGCTGCCTTCCAACACCAAAAACTCGAAGCTGGCGTGAAAAAGCGTGCTGCCGCAACCTACGATTGGGACGAAGAGCCCACGGCGGCCGCAGCGTGGGGCAAGGGCGGTGCCGAGCTCTATGGGGACGATGCAGAAGACGACGCTTGGGAAGCGCAGCGGGCAAAAAAGACTTCCAAGGGAAAAGGCGGCAAGCTGACGAGCAAGCAGCCGGCAAAGAAGGCAGGGCCCTTGGCATCGGATGCGGAGGACGACTCAAAGCACATCGATCTAGCGTCCTCCCAAGAAGACGCGAAGGCGTCGGCGAGCTTGGACGTGACCGGCTGGCCTTTGGAGAAAGTCGACGCGCTCAAAGAACTCCTTACTGAGCTCGAGGGCAAAGTCGACAGCAGCAAAGACCGCCCGAGCATCCAACAATTGCAAGCTGTTCTGCAAGAAGTCCCGGAAACCGTTTTGAACCACCAAGGCCTGCAGAAAACGGTGACCGATTTCATGCAAAAGACAAGCTACCCGAGAACCGAAAACCTCAAAGCTTTGCTGAAAGCCTTGAAGGACATGGTTGCCATCGTGGAAGCCGAATGGAAGAAGTGAGCGGAGGCCGCAATGCAGACGTAGCAGCCTGGGCTGCAAACCCTGCACAGGCGCAGTCCAGGTGGGCGGTTGGGCCTCGACCTTTTCACAGCGGCGGCCCTCGGAAGAAAAGAGCTGGTTTAGCCGACGTGCCACGGACAACTTACTAAAGTTGGATTTCTTTGGTCGATCGTCGATCGTGCTTTCGCACTCGCTCCACATGTCACATATCCGTTCACTGCGAATTGCTCATTTAACCGAGGCTTGTCTGTAATGCGAAAACACTCAGAACTACATCCTTGCGGCAGTTTCCGTCTCGTTACCGGCTCATCATGTGTCACGTGCGCGTGGCCCTTTGCAGCACTCAATTCAATTCGCAATCGCCTGCCTCGCGTCGCCCGTCTCGCCCTCTGTTGTGTTGCTATGGCCATGGAACCACCCAAGCGCCGTCGCATTTGGGCGAAGCGGCCGCCGCTGCCACACGAAGAGCTCCAAGCGCCTGCCGCGCAGCCAGCTCTTGCTGCGGAGGCCGCGCCCGCCGGCCATCGGCGGAGACAGGTGTTTTGCCCGGGCAGGGGCCCGGAACAGCCATGTTGCCTTGCTGCTGATGGCAGCGGTCGCGCCGCCAAAGGAACCCGGGACGGGTGCTGCAGCTTTTGTCACCGGGGCAACATGGACACAGCCTTGGGCACTGCGCGTGGCCGGAAGATCGTGGCCCGCCTCTTGAGGCAATGGCGCTTGAAGGCGCCCAACGTCTTTGAGGCGGCTTTCAACCAGAGCATTTTGGCAGAAATCGATGGCGCAACAAGGGAAAGCTTGCGCGCCCATGTGTCTGAGCCAACGTGGGAGGAGTTGCTTGCAAAGCGGTGCTCCATCGTATCCGGCCCTTCGCCTCAAGAACTCTGTGAATACCAAGACGGAGTGGAGCAGGATAGAGCTTATGTGCAGAAGAAATTCTTTCCAAGCAGGACACGGACGGTCCGACACGCCAACCACCAATGGCGAGCGCCAATGAACGAGGAGCTTCGTGGACAGGCGCGGGATCTCGCACACAACGATGCTGGCTTGCCTGCTGCCTACGTCAGCTCTGCAGCTGCTGCTTTGGAGACTTGGTGCAAGCGTGGGTCTTGGGACTTGTGTCGCCAATGTGCTTCCGTGCAACCACGTCATCTGAAGGAAGCTGCTTCACGAGACGCAGCCAAAGGAAACATCATCCTTTGCAAGAACTGTGCCAAAAAGGAGGACAAGAAAACATGGATACCCTCGCCAGAAGATGCGCCGGCTGTGCTTCGTGGCTTATCCTGGGCCCAAATTGAGGCGCTGCGGCCCTTGGACGTGGACAGCGGGCCAGAATGGAAGGCTGAGTTTAGCTACTACTTCCACAGCAGCATGATCCGCTTCTCGTGGGCCCTGGACGACGTGGAGGACAAGATCGATGCTTTGCCGAGTCGGCAAGAGCGGAAGAGAGCAAAGAAGGTGCGGGCGACATCTTTACTAGGTCCTAGATCAGTTTATGGTTCGTTGTCGGATCGATGGTCGCGACCGACTCGCTTTGATGTGTTCGGCCTCGACTGGCGCAGGCTTTCAATTTCCTCGTGGACAAGGACAACTGCAACTACTGGAAATGGATCGAGCGGCACCGGCGCTTCATGAACGCCAATCCCCGGGCCACGGATGAGCGCCGTAAGAGGCCACTTCGCTACATCGAGGAAGAGGGCATCGAGACCGCTGTGTGGCCACATCTCTACTGGGATACCCGGCTCTGTGAGACGGCCACTCGCCTAGCGGACGTTCGTCGCAAGCAGCGGGCTGGCCATCAACAAGATCCAGAAGACGATCCCATGGGTGACGAGACGGGGGGGCAAGAAGACAGCAACGGCCGCCAAAGTCTCAAGCGGAGCTTCCTCCTCAAAGCCTTCGGGCCCATAGCGGACTACGCTGGTGACTACAACCTCTTGCACTTCGTCTTCGACCTGTCCACTTGGTCGGACATTGGCGGAAAGAAGGGCGCCCTGTGAGGCATGCCGATGTGGCAAGCCATGAAAGGCGCTGCTTGGACTCCTCAATACTGGCAAGTTCGCCACGCGGCCGCCTTGGACATGCAAGCTCAGTGCGGTTACCCGATCGCTTTCATCACTTGGGCTCCCTTCGAGTGGTCGGCTCCTTACCATGAAGCACTTCTGCAGCAGATGCGAGATTTAGGCCGGCAACGCCTGGGGTTGGCCGGGCCTGAATCTTTGCATTTGGCACATCTCTTGACTGAGCTCTTCAGGGAATGGGTCTGTGGTGGCGGCCGCAAGTTCGGCGATGCCACGTCGCAGTGGAAGGCAGCTCTGTTTGGTGGCACGAAGCCGGATGGCAGTCGGGTTAAGGTCAACTTCGTGGGCCGCTTGGAATTCCAGGACGGCAAGCGGAAAGAGTCGACCCAAGACTACCATGGTCGAGGCGCCGTGCATCTCCATGGACTGGTCTTTGCCGAGAGCATCAAGCACATGAAGTTGCACGAGAAGTTCCAAGCAACCGTGCCTGCAGAAGGCGACCCCCTGAGAGGCTTGGTGCTCGATGGCCAAACGAGCAGGACGGGCAGCGGCTGGCCGGTCTTCGAAGGGTTGTCTCACTACGACGCGGCCGTGGACAAGGTGAAGCTTCACCACTCCAAGGAGGACAAGCGGCTCGGCGTGCGAGGCTACAGCCCAGAAGTCCTGGATGTCTTGAAGTGCCATCAGGATGCGCAGATCGAGCGCGGCACCGGCCTCATGCTCAAGTATGCCGCCACCTACTTGCCCAAGTTCAGTGACGGTCCTGGCAAGGAGCTCATGGATGACAGTAGCAGCGGCTATGGAGCTGCCAGGCGTGCCCTTTTCACTTTTCATCCCGGAGAGCCTGAGATGTGGATGCTGCTGGCCAATCAAAGCTTCCCCATGTTCGTGATGGGTGGGACTATGCAGCCGATCATCGCGCCGCACCCAGGCATGGAGCAGCCCCCGGCTTACGTGGCGCTCTACGAGCAGGCCACTTGGCGCGGCGAGATGACGCTCCTAGAGTACTTGCGCAGGGTTAACAACAAGGGCAACATCTTAGAGCATATCCGGAAGGCCCACAAGAAGGACACCAGAGGCCTCAGTTTAGAGAGCTTCGCGATCCGTTACGAGACCTTTGGCGAGAAGGTCATAGCTGCAGAGATGGTGTCCATGCTGAATGATAAGCGACTCGGCTTGAAACCATCCTTCGACGGGTCGTTCTAGCACGCCCTCTTACGTAATGTGTGATCGGCTCGGGCTCGCTCGGCTTCGTGGCCGCTGTAGGTACTATGGCCAGTGGATGGCTTTGAATGTGCCCTTCGAGACGTTGAGTGGTTTGCTTGTGCAAGACATCGTGGACAAGGTGCCTGAACATGTGAAATTTTTGGCTTGCGCACTGCATTGGGCACCTCACGTGTGGCGGAACGAGCAGGCCATCCGGGAGCACATGGCTTTGAGGGCGCGCAAAGAATCCCTGGTCAACACAGTGGTTCAAATGATCAAGACCCAGGAATTCTTCATTCAGCTGCATCTGAATGGGCACCTGGAACGAGAAATGCGAGTGCGGCCGGCCGCGCGCTTGATGCCATCTTACTTCGAGGACGCGGACGGCGGCTTCCGATTGACCGCTGAGCAGAAGCGGGTGGCGGAGAATATCGATCAGCGCGTCGATCAAGCCCTGGCTATTCGAGACGCGGCCGACGAGCAGGAGATGGAGCGATTGCTTGGCCTTGCAGACGAGCACGGTTCCATTGTCGCCGTGTCTGGCCAGCCTGGCACCGGCAAGACTGCCGTGGTGGACCTCTGCGTCAAAAGGGCGCAGCGCCTGCATGCCCGGATCCTGTTGGCCATGCCCACGGGGGTTCAACGGTCTCGCATGAAGCAGCGCCATCCCGAGGTGGACCTCGACACTTGCCACGGCGCCTTTCTTTTCCACAAGCCGCTGATAGAGGCCATGGGCATCATGATGTGCTATGATCTGATCGTCATCGACGAGGCAGTGCAACTCTTTGAGGAGCATTTTGAGCGCTTGCATCAGATGTGGCTCGCTGCCGGCAAAGTGCCGTGCTTGGTCTTCGTCGGCGATGAATGGCAATTGCCGCCCCCGGACAACACCAAGCGCAGCCTGGTGCACCATCCAAAATGGCGCTTCGTCTACAAGGTGGAATTGCACAAGGTCTGGAGACAAGCTGATGGCGATCCCCTGCTTGAAAAGCTCGCTTACCTCCGGAAGAACCGGCCCATGGGCGGGGAAGGCAGCGCCTTCGTGCGAGATATGTGCAGAGGTCACAAAGCCTGGTCTGGGCACCATGAGCCCACGAACCTGGACATCCAAGACTTGCTGCGCAAAACCGATGGGGCTACCACTGTCATCACGTGCACTCGATGGGGGCGCTGCTCTGGTTAACGCTTTGGCTGTGGAGGTGCTCTTCGAGCTACCCGGCTGCATCAAGTTGGGCGGCGTAGGCGCCGACTACGAGAGCAACCCGGACAACTACCATTGGAACGGGACGGCCTACGAGATGAAGCAGGATCAAAGCCCGGAGCCCTTGAAATTAGACCTCTATGAAGGCCTGCGGATCCGTCTGACCCGGAATATGAACAAGAGGCTGGACTATGTGAACGGCATGACGGCCATTGTGCAAGCCTTCGACCGGTCTTCCGGGGGCGTCATTGTGGAGACCGAGACCAAGCAGGTGCTCTGTGTGTACCCCCTGACGGAAGACGCCGGCGGCGGCCGGGTGGTCTACTACCCGATGAAGCCCGGGTACGCAGACACCGTCCACAAGTTCCAGGGGGCGGAGCTGGCCCACGTGACGTTTTGGCCTGACAGAGAAGGGTGCGCAGCCGCTGCCTATGTGGCTTTATCCAGGGTGAGGAAAGATGCCGACTACCTCTTGGGAGGCTACATCAAGCCTGAGCACTTCGTGCCGGCCAAGTGAGCGGAGTGAGCGGTAGTTCTGTCGCATCTGTACAGTTGGCGCATCGTGGACGGCTCTAGGCCAAGAAGGATGTCCTTGAAAACAGTGGACGCCTCTGGCCGAAGGCCACGGACAGAACATAGGGTCGTGCGTGGCAACGAAAAAACATAGCATCCTGCGTTTAGACGGCAAATCGGCGAGCTATGCGTCTTTGTTGAAACATTGTTCCGCAAAGCCGGCGGACCTTATAAATACTGATGGGCAAAACACTCGCGCCATAGTCCCGGATCGGCAGCTTGGGTTCGAATAGAATTCATAACATCACCAACTTCCTATAATAATTTGAAGCTCGGCCGCAACCCCTTGCTCAGTCGCCGGCGTTGCAGCCTCGCCTCTCTTTTTTTTGGCACTTGTCGGTTTTGCCTGCATATGCTCCTTTGTTTGCCTTCCGTATCTTGGCACGGGACTTGGGAAAGCAGCGATGCAATCAATGGGCACGCGCGAGGGGAGAAAGAAAGGCCAAGAGCCTGCCCGGCGACTGAGGGCAACCCTAAACCCTAAAAGAGTTGTGTTTGGGTGGCCTTGGGGCGGGCTTGTCCGCAACGTGATGGCGTGCGCAATGGGGAGGGGCGGCGTTAAAAAATGATCGATAGCCGCCCCGATAAAGGCGCGCGCCATGAGCCGTGAACACCCTAAACCCTAAACCCTAAACCCTAAAACCCTAAACCCTAAAACCCTAAACCCTAAACGACGTTTGCGTCCAAGCAAACGTCGAATTGCTGTGGAGTGTGACA